CCTCCCCCCTCCCCTTCCCCCTCTCCCTCTGTTTTAAACAGGGTCTCTAATCCAGAATGGCCTTCAGCTCCCTCTGTAGCCAGGGATAACCTTGAACTTCCCATTCTTTCTGCTTCTGTCTCTCAAGTACTGTGATTACAGGCACTTGGAACCACACTCAGTATTTTCTGTGCTGGGGCTGTAAGCCAGGGAGGGCTTTCTGTATGCTAGGGAAGTTCTCTTACTGAGCTGCAGCCACAGCCCATATTTTCTTCTTCTAGGACTCATCAGATTGACACAGGTAAACCGGAACTGTCATCTAAACAAGATCAAAATAGTTCTTTCAATAAGCACACAGTAAAAATGCTGAGTGATTAGACAGCCGTTGAGTTGATTTCCATAGACATTAACTTTCTCTTTTTCTTTCTGCCATTATGAGGTCACAGTGAATCTTACCAACAGTGAATCTTACCATCAGCAGGACCCTGGAGCTGAGCTGGTATGAAGGTTAAGTTCAAGTGGCTCCTGTGACTGCATGGCCCTGCTCTGCTACTTCAGGTCTGGCATCCTAGGACTCAAGCTGTAGAGGAGGCGGGAGCATCAAATGTTTCAAGGTCATCCTTGGCTACATAGCAAATTCAAGGCTAGCCTGGACTATAAGAGACCCTGAGTCAAAAAGAAAACAAACAAACAAAATAGTTGTGCTCACACAACTTAGGGTGGTGATCTCCACAGCTTGACTTTAGAATCACAGAATCCTGGAAGGTTGGAGATAGATTGCAGAGTCTTAGGTTTGGAACCACTGACTCACTGCTTCAGACTCTTGGGGCTTGGAGGGACATGGAGCTGCTGGTTGACAGAGAGAAGAGTGAGCCTGGGATGGATGCACTAAGAAATGCTTCCCAGGAGCCAACAGAACATACCAAATAGTTATATCTCTGAGTCAGTTCAGGAGTCCTGGTCCACAAGCAAGTTTGTCTTTGTATCCTAGGTGCTGGCCATGTTGGCGGGTAGGAGGGGGAAGAATCAAGGCAGGAGGAAGAGGCAGGATGGAACGTTAGACCCCAGGAAGGCTAGGCAAGATGGCACCTCTGCTTTGCAGACCAGAGAGACCAGTGTGGGTGCTAGGAGTCCCCACTTACCAGTTCCATCTCCTGACTCAGCCTCCTCACCAGCCCCCACTTCTGCCCACATAACCACCAAGCTACTGCTCCCACCTCAGCATGCTTTTCTCAATCGACTGCAAGCTCTCTACACCTCAGACCTTCACACACCTGGTGCTGCAAAGCTGCCAGGTACAGCTGTACAAGTTGGTCACTGCACAGGAGTGCTACCTTCACGTTGAGGACATCACAGACTTCTACCAATAATTTCTAGCAGGTGACAGTAAAACATCATGAGGAAGAGGCACCTTTTTATCATCCATCCATACACAGTGCTGTCTGAGCTAGACAGGGGCTCTGTTCTGCCCTGAGTATCAGCTTCCTTGGGCTGCATACAGCAGACTCCAGCTCCATCCTTCAAGGCTCCTTTAAACATTCTCCTTTTCAGGAAGATATCCATAGCAACACCCTTCTCCCCACAGATATCCTGCAGGGATTAATAGTTAACATCAGTCAGTGCTAACTGATGATACAGAAGTCAATAATGCCTGGCAGTGATTTCCTGAAGAGATGGTTCTGGGTGTACCCCTGGACCCAGGATTAAATATTACCGAATCAGTTACTCAAAAATAACACTTCTTTTAATCTTCATTGATTAAATCAGGGTCAAAGAAAAAGAAATCTCACTGGAGCACATGTCTCTCCTGCTTTTCACCAATGTTTGCTATGGACCCACTGAGTCAGGAACAAGTGGTTACAGGCTGGAGTCTGGGGAAGTGGTCACACTTGCTGAGACTTCAACACAACCTTCTTTAAGTTGCGTCTGATCTCTTCGTACCACAACTTTCTGTCTATGGTGTATGAGGTTGGTTTTCTGCTTCCCAACGTGCTGCAAAGTTTTATTTGCAAATCAGTGAATTAAAGCACAAAGTGCTAAGTCTATTTAAATAAAGAGTTCTGTATGCAACAGACTACATGTGGGTTTGGCCAGACACTATGTGGGGTAGCCAGAAGGGGAGAACTTAAAAGCACAAGTTTGATGTGCAAGCTCTGGCTCAGACTGTCTGGGTTCAGATGCAGACTGGTTCGCTGTGTGACCTTGAACACACTTTACCTCTCTGGGACTCCTCTTCTTCACATGTTCAACAGAAAGAATAACACTAATTTCCTAAAGTAACCTGAAACATAGTGAGAGCCTGTTGCAATGCCCAAGCTGACTCCATTTTACTTTCGCTTTACCCTACGTTTCTGCCTAGCTACTCCCCGTGCTCCTGTAACTGCAGCCAGGCAGCCAGGCCATGAAGGCTGTACCTACATTTCAGGGAGTACACTGTTTCTACAATACTGGGAAACTTACACACAGCCAGGCAGTGAGCCCATTGTTTCTGCAATTCTGAGAAACTTGTTTTTCCTAACTGAAACTTAGAAACATTTGTTAACTGAAACTTTGTTAACTGACCTACCCCTGGTGTGGTATAACCATGGTTATTGGTTTTGCTCCTGGCACAATGTAATTGTGGTTTTAAGATTTATAAACCCTGCTCTGCCTCTCTTTAGGGTCAAGAGTTCTTTTGGGTGTGAGCTCCCATTCAACTGTCAGTTAATTATTAAAGGACTCTTTTTTTTGTTGTTTTGTTTTGGTCTTTTTGAGACAGGGTCTCCCTGTAGCCCCAGCTGTCCTGGATTCACTATGGAGACCAGGCTGGCCTCGAACTCACAGAGATCCGCCTGCCTCTGCCTCCTGAGTGCTGAGATTAAAGGCATGCACTACCACACCCAGCCTATTAAAGGACTCTTAATTCAACCATCACTACGTGGTGTCCGGCTGTGCTTTGTACACTGTGTAACACTGTAGGAAGACTCCAGTCAGCACAGTGGTTTACACCTGTGATTCAGCACTCAGGAGACTGAGGCAGGAGGATCTTGAGTTCAATGCCAACTGGGACTATACAGCAAGATCTTGTCTCAATAAATAACAAATAAAAACTGAGATGAAGATGTAGTTTATTTATTTATTTATTTATTTTGGTCTTTTTTGAGACAGGGTCTCCCTGTGGCCCCAGCTGTCCTGGAACTCACTATGTAGACCAGGCTGGCCTCGAACTCACAGAGATCCACCTGCCTCTGCCTCCTGAGTGCTGGGATTAAAGACTTGAGCCACCACACTTGGCAAAGATGTATTTTGTTGGTAGAGCATTTGCTTAGCCTGCACAAAGCCCTGGGTCCAAGTCCCAACATTGAATAAACCCAGAGTAGTGCCTCACACCTGTAATCTCCCATTTAGGAGGTTGAAGAAGGAGGATCCAAAATTTAAAGTCATCCTCTACTATAGAGGGAGTTCAGAAATTCAAGGTCATCCTGGACCACTCAGGAAGTTCAAAGCCAGCTTTGGATACACTAGACCACATCTTCCCACCCCTCGTGCCCCCAAATAAAAGATCTTTGTATTGTATTGATGCTTAATCTAATTGCTACTAAGACCAGGAAGGAAGTCTCATCCAGATATTCAGCGAGCAGTACACTCTATTCACAGACCCCACAGAAATTTGGATGTTGGAACTTTTATTTGCAGGGGCAGATGCAGCATTGAGGCCAGGCAGGCTGGAGCAGGGAGGGAGTGTACTGTGGCTCACTTGTGGGGCTCAGCAGCCAGCACAGGGAAGCAGCTCTGGAGATGCCACTGCGGGTCTCGAAGATGATGCATAGCCGGCATCTGTGGCTGGAAGGCTCCCCATTCATTCCAATGCCGGAAGTCGCCAGGTTCCAGCAGGTACTGGTAGCCACAGTGGCCAGGGTACTGGTAGCCAACCCAGCTGGGAAGAGAACAGGGGACCTTGGAGGTGGAAGGGTGACATCCAGTATCACCACCTCTCCAAGTGCCCCCACAGTATGTACCCAACCGGGGCCACAAAGGTTCCCCTCCCTGGCTTTCCCCTGTCTGCCTTTTGCATGCCCTTGGGCAAGGTCTTCCCTTCTCAAATAAACCTTTTCTTCTAGAAAGTGAGCACAGCTGCCTTGGAGCGTGCCTAGGGGACCTGATGGAGTCAAGACCCCCAGGGTGCTGACCAGGCCTGCCACCTGCCACAGTAGGAAGTCAGCCCACACCCAGGAATCAAGGTGGAAGGAAAGCCCCTTAAATGGAGTCTTGCCCAGCCATTGTGCAGCTGGCAACACTGAGGTGCTAAGAGGGGCTGCAGTTCACCTAGGGACTTTGGCAAGTTAGGAACAGGGTAGGGTCCTGTCCTGCTGCAGATCTGCCTCAGTAGTCGCCCCACTTATTCCCCTGGGGCCTCTGCTCACCTTGGAACAGACTCTTCTGTCCACCCCAACTCTGCTTCAGACCTGGTTAATCTTTCAGGCCCATCTACCACAGCAGCTGCAATTCTTTCCATCTGGGGATTGTGGAGCTGGAACTTGCCACATGCTCAAGACATATGGCCTGTTGGCAGAACCCAGGGAGCCAGCATTGGAACACTGAGGAAGGTGAGGCCTTTCCAAGAGGCCCCATGGGACATCCCATTTCCAGCCTCAGATTCTAATCAGAGCACTGCACACTCAGGCTGGCCAACACCCTGCATACATTAAAAAACTCACGAGAGTGCTTCAGAAATATTTGACCACAAGAGAGGGAAGTCACACACCATCAAAGACTGCCCTTGGTGAGCAAGAGGTGGTTGGCTATGACTAAAAAATCCATTCATAATTCTGGAAAACTATGAGTCACATGAGGCTGTCTCTGATCTAGACTCGTCTCCTCTATGCTGATTTAGTTAAATATTATAAAACTAATCCATGTCATGTTATCAAGACATTCTACCTACCCTCCCCCAAAGTCTCCTTCTCAGCCACTGTACAATTTTCTTTTCTTTTTGAGATAGGTTCTCATTTGTAGCTACAGTTGGATTTGAACTCATAACCCTCCGACCTCCACTTCACAGGTGTTAGGATTATAGGCCTGCACAAATGGATGCTGAGTGCATGTTGAGTGCCCTGAGTGGACACTGGGATTTTAAAAGCTTCCCAGGAGGGTATATAATGTGCAGCTTGAACATCCTACCAAGAGAATCAAGGAAAGCACTGGTATTTCAGCTCAAACACTGGAAGGTTGACTCCAGGCTCATAGACACAGAGAGGGAAACACCCCACTGTGTGTCTGTTTTTTCCTGAGGCCTCAAAACATAGCTGGGCACAGATGGACTGTTTCAGAGCACTTGCAGAATTGCAGAGTGAGGGGCCCCTGCTGGCCAACCAGAGGTTATCAGGCTTCCCTGCTTACCCTCAGACCTCAGGCCAGCCCCTGCTCAGCCCCAGTCCCTGGCCACTCACCATCCTGACAGGCCCGAAGGACATGAGCCGGTCACTGCGGTAACTGCTGGACCAGGTGTCCCAGCGCGGATACTCACCTTTCTCTAGGACAGACATCTCTCCTTGGAAGTTGGATTGCTCAAATGCCACCCAGCTGGACACATGAAGGACCCAAAGGGGCAGAGCCAGAGAAGAGAAAAACCATCAGCAGAGGCCCCTCCCGCAGCTTGTCCTTCTGCCTGTTTGCACAACTGCCTAGGCACAATGAGAAAAAGCTAAAGTGGGCCCAATGGGGCTGGGGTCTGTTCCCTGCTATCCCCTGCTGTGTGACTATGGACAGGTGTCTTCACCTCTCTGAACCTTCATCACATCATCTACACTAATGTGATTCTTTCTGTAGTTGGTGAAAGATTCAGTGAGATACTGTATGTAATCATCTGAGCAAATAATTGTAGCGAATACAAGATTGACATAAGCTTTAAGTACTATAAGGACATTGGCCAACTAACACATCAGAAGGGATTTTCTTCTAAGCCTGCTGACAGCAAGGAGAAAGTCTCTGCTTGATGCTTATGTGTCTCTCTGATCTGTGCTTTGGGAACACAGGAAGAACAGACCACCACTCTAGCACCTCACAGGCAGCAGCAAAAAGTGCTGCTTTGTGTTTAATGGTGGGGGTTTTTCATGGACACCTTTTACTTACAAGTGACACTATGTTTTCACTTGACAGAGTGGTGCAAAGGTTTTTTCAAAATATACAAATTTGTGTTTAAAAGGATCATTTAAAATAAAATATAGGAGCTGGGCATGGTGGTGAACTCCTGTAATCCCAGCACTGGGGAGGTAGAAGCACTGTGGTGCCTCAGTCTAACCTAGGCTACACTAGAGATCTTGCCTTAAAACACGGAAACCAAATGAAAGAAAACAAATGTTAACTGGCCCAGAGGTTCAGATATGAGAGGAAATATTGACTCAAGTGTGGTAAAGACTGGTGGTCAGAAGCTTCTGGCTGGGACAGAGTGACAGAGGGACCCTGACACCTGCTGAATTCCCGTGATGGGACAGCACACGGGAAGGGGTCAGACTTCCCAAGGAGTCAGGTCTTTATAAGGTATAATTAGAAAATTGAAACCTAGCAAGGGCTTTTTCAGTATGGTCTGATCAAGGAGGTGAGGGTAGGGATTCTGGGGAGAGGGTGAACCCTGTTCTATGTATTTGGAGTTCTAAAGGAATGAGAGAGATGCAAGGGAACACTGATATGAGTGTCATTTCCCTAGGGCTGCTGGGGCCTTTCCCTCAGAAAGATTGCAGTGGAGACACATCATTCTGGACTGAGAAGGAATCACAACAGGAGCTTCAGGACCTTATCTGAGGGATGAACGAACCACTTTGGAGTGACAGAATAGAAGATGTGGACTTATGGAAAAGAGTTGAATTTGCCTCAGCAGACTGGAGAAGAGCAAAGGGTAGATGAATGGATGGGTTGGTGGGTGAATGGATGAGTGGATGGATGACGGATGAGTGGCAAATAGATGGATGAGGGGATAGATGGATGGATGAATGAATGAAGTGATGAGTGGATAGGTGATGAATGAATGAAGTGACGAGTGGATAGATGATGGATGAATGGATGGGTACATGGGTGGATAGATAGGGGGTGGATGAGTGGATGGATGAACAGATGAGTGGATGAATAGATGAGTGGATGGGCAGGTGGGTAGATAGATGATGGATGATGCATGAGTGGATGAATGGGTGGATGAGTGGATGGATGGATGGATAAGTAGATAGATGGCTAGATGAATGAATGAAGTGATCAGTGGATAGATGATGGATGAATGGATGGGTACATGAGTAGATGGATGGGTGGGTGGGTGGGTAGATGGATAGGAAAATGGATGGATACAGCAGATGGGTAGACGGATAGATGGGTGGATGGATGGGTGGATGGGAGGATGGGTGAATAAGTGGATTGGTATGTGGGTGGGCAGAGGGATGAATAGATGGGTAGATGGATGAATGAACATGTAAGTGAGTAGGTAGATGGATGGATAGGTAGGTGGATGGGTAGATGATGGATGGAGAGGTAAGTGGATGGGTGGATAAATGGATAATAGGTGAATAGGTAGATGGATGGATGGATGAATGGATAGGTGATGGAAGGTGAATAAATGGTAGATGGATGGTAGATGGACGGATGAACAGATGCTTGCAGTAATGGATAGGAGGAAAGGTGAAGGAAGAGGGATGGACATTAGACTGATGGCCAGATGGATTGGCCTATGGATGGATGCACAAATGGACAGGTGATAAATGTATGGATGCATAGAATGTGAAAAGAGGGAGGGAGCCTCAGAAGGCAGTGCCATACAAGTGTGAAGAGAGGAGAGACTCTGAGAAAAGATAACTGAGTTCCAATCCCAGCTCACCATTGATTTAGTCTTGGTGTGACTTGGGCAGACATTGAAGCTGGTTCAGCAAAAGAGAAGAAATGACTGTAATCTACCTTATTTGGTTTTGAGGCCTAAACAGGAAACACATGAAACAGATTCAGCACAGAGTTCACACACAGATTCAAAGCAATCTCATTTATGACCAGAGATGGGGGAATCTGCTGCTGGTCTGAACTTATGAAGAGACAGACACTGGTATGGTTTTGACACCCTGTCCTCTCCCTCCACACTCCTCTGTCTTGTTCAGGGGCCCCAAGAGGACCCAGTCAGCAGTGACAAGTGTTAAGTGTGTGCTGGTGCCCTTTCTCACTGCCTGTGGCTCATCTGAGAGCAAGAAGAGGAGGAGAGGAGAGCAGGAGTCAGATGTGGACATTAAGCCTTAACCCTGAGGGGCTGTACCCCAACCCAGGCCATGCCATGGTGTCCGGTGTCAGGTTGAGGTCTCCTGGGTCTCAGGGATGCACGTCTCTCCTCTCCATCTTCTGCTTACCTCCTCATCCTTTCTTCCTCCATACCTGCTGGCCCTGACATAGCCACAGGCTGCTGAAACTCAGGCCCATGTTTGTCCTCTTTGGAGCACAGGATGGGGTAGACATGTGCACAGCTGTCCCTCTTTTGAGGAGAATACTCTGGCTTTGAGTCATCAGCACCCAAAACAGTCTGAAACCCCAAGCCGGCCACATCCGGTAGTTCCTGTCCCAGCTGGGCTTGGGGGATGGGTGGGGCTGAGCTGGGGTTGACCACACCATGGATGGAGTGGGTGCAAAAGACGCAAGTGGCGCCTGGATATGAAACTTACAGGGCAGTAGGGAGGGTGGACTGTCATCAGCACCCCAGATGTGCTTGGGTATCTACAACACCAGCCCCACTCTGCCTCAGAGGCATCCTCAGTAGGCCAGTGGGGACTGTGACTCTCCTTGTTTCAGAGAGGAGGAAACAGGCTGGGAGACTGATAAGGCATGGGAGAAAAGCAGAACCCAAGAAAGCGGGATTTCAGTCTGACCTTGAACCGAAGTTGGCTCTTCCCTTTGTCCTATAGGCAACCCTGTACACACTTCTTGGGGGCTTCGTGGAGAGGAAAGAGGTCATGGGGACCTCAGCACATAGGGCTGGTCCTGGAAAGTCAGCCTGCTTGAGGAACAACCATTCCTGCTTTCCCAGGTATTCACTAAGGCCCAATCAGGGCCAGGCAGCAAGGCCTGCTCATTTGGAGCACTGGGAATGAAATCAAACAGCCTGTGTCAGATGCTGCCTTGGGCACTCAGTGTGGGTAAGGTTGCCCGTCGACATAGCCCCTCACAGCCTCATCTCTTGTCTGTTGACTGGGGAGGAGGATAGTCCAGCTTGATGCTGTCACAGGTGAGGTCCTTGTCCCATGCCATGCATGCACCTGTTGGGTACTTTATGGATGCTTAGGGGAGGGGACAGCTGGGGCCACGTGGTTCCTGCTCTTGGTAATTGGCTGGGTTCCTCTCATAACAGAACAGCATATTGCCTTATGGTTCAGGCCACCTCTGGACCTCAGTTTCCTCATCTGTCCATGAGAAGGACAATTATCCCCTCTCAGGTTTGCAGAGAGCAGAGAATGACAGAGATGCCACTACCTGGTGCCCAGAAAATCTGTTATTATTATTTCTCTGTGGCAGAACCCTCCCCTGCCAATACTCACGGTCCAGAGGTGACAATCAGGCTGCACACTCGGTCAAAGCCTCAGCCCCCCAGGTTCAGGCACTCCCCTGAGAATTTCACGCCTCAGCCCTGGAAGTTTTCCTGCTCGAAGACCACCAGCTGCAGAGAGAAGCCCCCCATGTCCCAGACACAGAGAAGAAAGACACCCCCATGCCCAGGGGACAGAGTGACAGGTGGGTGGCCTGACTCTGTGCACCTGACTCCTAAAGGAACCAAATTCAACAATAGAGAGGCTCCAGCCCAGTAAGGACATGTGCCATTCAAAGCAGGTGGGGCCTGGGTCACATCAGGGTGTTGTGAGCCACAGTTTGTGGTAGCCTGTTCTCCTGTCTCCACACTACTGCACTCCATATCCACAGCATTCTTGGGGGCAGGAGAGGGGGCCAGTGTCTCCCTTTCAGGGTCTCTCTGAATTTATTCTGACCAGGAATTTATTCTGTAACCCAGGCTTGCCTCAAACCTGTGATCCTCTTGCCTCAGCCTCCCAGGTGGTGGGATGAGATGTGTGTGCCACCAGATCCAGCCTTTCTGATCCCTTCCCTGTGCTGTTCTTCCAGCTGGCATGATCGGGGAATCCATGGCTTGGACTTCCCACTCCCTGACTCCTGTTCCAGGCTATGCATGGTCCTGCCTCTGTTCTAGGCTACCTTCTCCAGGAAGCCTTCCTGGATTGCTCCTCCATCTTAGGTTAGGGCTGAGTGCCTCCTGCTGTTCTGACCCCTTATCAACCAATGACAACTCTGGAAGCTACTTCTTTGCTGGTGCCCCCCTTCCTCCTCTTCTTCCAACTCCCACCCCCCCACGAAGGGCTCCTTCAGGGCAGGGCCTGAACCACCTGTTTCTTTATCTATGGCCCCAGGTGCAGGAAACATTCTGCAGTCTGTAACACAGGCACACACAGTGGACTCCTCTCGGAGCCTCTCTGGGTTTTTACCCATGCTCTATCCTATGTGGCAACTCTGTTGTTCAGTGGAATTGGTGCACTTGTCTAGCATGGGGTACCAGTGGTAGATGCCTGGAGTCGGGGAGATTAGGAGGGCTCTTGAGGGACCCTTAGGGCAGGTAATGAGTTTTCACTGAGTCCTGGCTTATATACTGGTTGTTCATTTGTAGGTGCTTGCTGCCTTTTTTAAAATGAAATTTAAATTAATGATTAAATACAATTACATAAACCAAAGCCAGCTTAATCTAGACCTGGAGTGAGTCATGAATCAAGGGTGGCCAGGTCATTCACTACCTGAGGTGGAAACCAAACCAAACCCCAGGGGCCTGGGGTCTAGTTCTCCAGGACCCAGGCAGCCTGGACCTCCTGGGAAAACTTCTGGGAGAGTCAGAGGTCAGTAGGGTGTTCTGGCGACTCTCTCGGGATGGGTGGTGCTTGCCACCAAGCCACATCCCTTTCCTGTTCCTGGCTTTGCCACACTCTAAGACTGGCCTGGCCATAGGTGTCCCTGCAGCAGGGAGGGGGTCCTCATACTCAGGTATGGGATACTTGCCTGTCTGGAAAGGAAGGGGCCGGGGAGGACAGAGAGCAGAGTCAGAGGAAAGAGAGCCTGGGGAGGTGGGGACAGAGAAAGGGTGGAAAGAGAGAAGACAGCCAAAGGGTAAATGAGGAGGGAGAAGAGAGAGAGGGAGGAGTAGCAAGGAGGTGAATCAGCGAAGCCCAGTGACAGGTCCTTACCCTATGGCTCCCAGGAGGCAGGTCCCCTACTTTGGTGCTGGACCTGGGCACAGAAGCTGGGGCTGGGGCTGGTCTGTGCGTGGTGCCCCCTTCCCCTTGGCCTCAGACCCTGGGTTCATTGCTGTGGTGGCTGCAGCCTTGGCCGCCTGAGACATGATTCTTGCTGCTGGGAGAAAAAAGAAACCTTTGGCCTGGGTAACTTGGGGGTGGCACCTCCGAGCTGGCCCCCATTCCTGTGCCCCTCACCCTGTGTCCTCATCCTGTGGCTCCTTTGAAACCATTGGCTCTATCCTTTGGAAACATAAACCTTGAAGCTTTTTGTCCCCCTTCAGCTTCTGTCTGGGGATGGTCATTCCCGTCCCCAGATCTTTACTGCAGGCCTTTGGCCTTGCTGTCCATCCCTCTCTGGAGCTGTCCTTTCTTCAGGCCACGCTCTTGCCTTCCTTGACTCCCTGTTCACACTTGTGACACGTGTTTGTAACATGACTTTGAGTCACCAAGTGAGTGATAGTCATGCTCAGGAGTGTTTCCAGCTCTCCAGTCACTGTTAAGCACCCTGACATTCATTGTGGGCTAGGTGGGGTCAGGATCCCCTTACACACACAGATGGGTGGGTACCTGGAGTACTAACCACATGCTGTGTGCACACTCCTATATCCATTCATTCACCATCTCCTTAGCACTTGACTTTGTGCAAAGCATACCAGAGATGCTCAGTGAACATCTGTTCAGAGAGTAAATGCACATGTCTGCATGTTCTGAACCCTCTCCCAGCCTACTGCCTCTGGTGTCTTCTGGGAAGAGGAGGGTGTGCAAATACCAGCCCAGGGCTTGGGCAGGCAAGTGGTGCAGGAGGGTGCACATGGAGTGCTCAAAATACAAGGACTGTGGCTGCGTGGGCTTTGGGTGGAGGGGACTTTGGTTAGCTCTGCTGGTCCCTCATGGAACATGGACTCCTCAGAGTTGACCATGCCTAACCTGACTGTCCCCTGGGGAAAATGCCCTCCCCAATTCTTTAGACAGTTTGCAGATGAGAGAGGAGCCCCAGGGGCCCAGAGTGAGACCCTCTGGTCCAACTGGGTTCTGGTGTCCTCTCTCTAGTTGAGGGCGAGTATGCTCCTCCCCGCCTCCCACGGAAGGAAGACTGCCTGCTCTGCTACCCCAGGTGGGCCACACATCTGGGCCACATCTGGGGTTTTCTGCCACCCCCATTTCCATCACTGTTCTGGGAAACACTCCCTAGGGGCTGGGCTCCCTTCCCAGCCATGTGCTCCCCTCCCTCTCCCTCTCCCCCTCTTCCTCCCTCTCTCTACCCTTTGGGACTTGAGACTACTGTCACTGCTTCTCTCCCTCCTTCCCTGGTTTTGTTTTATTTTTGAGACAGGGTTCAGCTCTGTAGCCCAGGCTAACCCTCCCATTCCCAGCAGTCCTCCTGTCTCAGCTTCCCGAGTGGAGGGCATGACCAGCGTGTGCCACTAGGCTCAGCTCCGTGCTTTTGGCTCCTCCCCATGTCTCCCCATTCCAGTCTCTGTCCAGTTCTGTTCTTTTTTCATATTTTATTATTTTTATTTTATGTGTATGCATGTATTGCCTGCATGTAGGTAAGTGCACCTACATGTGCAATGCCCGCAGAGGACAAAAGAGGCTGTTGGATCCCCTGGAACTGGAGTTACAGACAGTTGTTAGCTGCCATGTGGGTGCTGGGATTCGAACTCGGGTCTTCTGCAAGAACAACCAGTGTTCTTAACCGCTGAGCAATCTCTCCAACCTCTCAGTTCTGTTCTTTATCTCCATCTATCCCTTTCTATTTTACACCCACCCTGATCTCCACCTTCACCCAGCTCTGGCAGTGTGGTGGTCCCCTCTCACCTGTGGATTCTGTACTTCCTGATGGGTGACAGGCCAGTGCTGTAGGTCCTTCAGGACTGACCCCCTACTTTATAACGTGGCAGACACCAGGCCCTATAGTGTGCAGAACAAAGAGGCAGCTGGCTCAGCAGGCCTGAGTGGGGCCCCAGGCCCAGCTCTGTGTCATTACTGTACAGACCAGCACTTTCCATTGTGGACCTAGGGGACACAGAGGAACCTTGGCCCAACCCCACACTGCCAACTCCTGTTTCCATCACCTCAGCTGGGGACGGGTCCTGCTGGCTGCCTGCCTGGGAAACAGAAGGAGACCTGGATCCAAATTGCCATAGGCACCGTGCAATGTGGCGCTTCAGAAGGTCTCTACCTCTCAGGGTCTCTGTCTACAGGTGACAAAGATGCCTGTGGGGTGCTTGTGAAACAGAAGGTGACACTGAGTACAAACATGCTTTGTAAAGACAAGAGAGGGCTCTCAGTCCGCAGTCCTGTTCCTGTCTGCTTCCTGTGCGTTGTAGCCCCCGGGCTTCATGGGCGTCTCTATGGCTCTGCGGCACACCTGCCCTGTCCTCATTCTCACTGCACCCACTTCTCAGATGATGAAAGTGGGCTTCACAGGTCAGTGCTGGCCAGGTCAGTAGAGTGGGCACTGGCCTGTATGCTTCATTTTCAAGATGTCCAACCTTGCCTGACTTCCCAATTCTCAGATGGTGGTGGTGGTGGAACGGGTCTCAGGCTCAGGTTTTTGAATATTCAAGATCTGAGCCTTAGTCTTTTCCCCAAAGCACCATCCTTCCTAGCTGCCCCGCAGCCCCTGTTGTCTGACCCCAGGAGTGGCGCCCAGGCCAGGAACGTGACAGCCTCACTCCCCACTGCATCTGGCTCAGCACTAGCCCAGTACCTTGCCCAGGGTCTAAGCCCCAATAGGCCCTTGTCAGTGTCAGGACAAAATGGGGGTTCCAGTGGTTCGTAGCAGAAGGTTGGGAGACGGGGAGTGGGCTCCAAGATGAGGAAGGAGAATGTCAGTTTTTCAGAGGTGGATGCGACAGGTGAAGAAGTGGACGGAGTGAGCCTGAGGCAAAGGGCACAGACAGAGTCATTTAGTCAGGTCGGTGAGGCCCCCCACAGATGGAAGGCAGATGGTCCATCCCTTCCACAATGGAGAAACTGAGGTCCACATAGAATACAAGGTTCAACCCGTCTTCAGAGTGAGCTCAAAGTGGAGTGGGGCCAGAGGCAGGGATGGGGGGTGGCGGGGGGAGCTAGTCCAGCCCACTGCAGTCTATGTCCCTAGGCCCAGTGGAGTGTGTGCGTTGTTTGAACAGCTCTGGCCTCTTCTTTAGGGATCAGGACCCCCATGAAGCCCAGCTCTCTCTGTGGTCACCCTGGCCTAGGGCCACTGCTGGTTCTGCCCCTCCACCCATGAGCCTCTCTCTGCCCTTCATCCTGGGCCAAGGCCCTGAGGGCAAGGTGGCGCAAAGTGGAGTGCGGCGAGAGGCAGGGATGGGGGGTGGCGTGGGGAGCTAGTCCAGCCCACTGCAGTCTATGTCCCTAGGCCCAGTGGAGTGTGTGCGTTGTTTGAACAGCTCTGGCCTCTTCTTTAGGGATCAGGACCCCCATGAAGCCCAGCTCTCTCTGGTCACCCTGGCCTAGGGCCACTGCTGGTTCTGCCCCTCCACCCATGAGCCTCTCTCTGCCCTTCATCCTGGGCCAAGGCCCTGAGGGCAAGGTAGAGACCTTGGGTTGGGGCAGACGCTGGAACCCAGGCCAAGATGCCTGTGGTGGGGGCCACCCACAAGTCTAGGCCTCAAAATTGGCTTCTGGGGCAGTTCCGTGCCTCTCCCATCCCCTGGCAATGGGCTGCCTGCCAAAGGGTGGGGGAAGGAGGGGACGCCTGCCTTGCTGGGTGGCTCTGTTCTGAGTGTGTTACTAATGACCCCTTGGAGTCTTCGGATCAGCCTGTTTATAGATGCAGAAGAGGGGAAGCTCCTCTGTATCCCTCCCGGCTCTCTTTCCCATCTGTCAGGAGAACTGGCACTCACCTCTTTCTTTCTGTTTGGTTTATTGAGACAGGCTCTCCTATGTAGCTCAGGCTGGCCTGGAATTCCCTATGTAGCTGAGGATGGCCATAAACTTCCAACTTTCCTGCCTCCACATTCCAAGCGCTAAGATTATAGGTGTGCTCCATGCAGGGCTGGGGACTATCTCTTTCTGCTTCCTGAGCCTAACCACATAGAAGTGATGCATTCCTGCTCTTAGGGAAACAATATTTCATAGTAAGGATGGGAGAGATGGCTGGTACTGGAGTACTTTCTGTGCTCCTGCAACTCATACAAATGCCATTCACATTTGTGCTCAGAGCACGCCCATCTTTCAGGGTAACCCTTTAAAATTTCCTATCACATTTGCGTGTGTGTGTGTGGAGGTCAAAGGACAACTTGTGAGAGTCGGTTCTTTCCTTCCACCTGTGGGTCCCAGAGAGTGAACTCAGATTGTCAGCCTGAGTGGCAGGTGCCTTTACATGCTGAGTCATCTCTTCAGCCCCCAATGCACCTTTTAAATTCGTTTGTTTGTTTGTTTGTTTGTCTTGCTATATAGACTAGGCTGGCCTCAATATCACAGAAATTTGCCTGCCTCCGCCTCCCTCCCAAGCACTGGAATTAAAGGTGTGCACCATCACACCTGGCCCTCAATGCACCTTTTTATACCTGTTTTATGCACAACATAACTGAAGCTTCGACACATTAGGAATCTACCCAAAGTTAACCAGTCCACAGGCATGGGGTGCAGACCCAGGCTGCCGGCTGTATAGGCTGCAATCTGGCCACCCTTCACCAAAGTCCTGTGTGTGTGTCAGGTCTACGTCAACTGTGGCAGGAAGGAGGGAGTGTTGTTGCTTTTCCGAGCCATGAGAGGTCACACATTGTCCAGGTCACCTAATGGTGTCCTGGTGCCCACCATACTGTCTTGCCTTCCTGTGACAGTCCTCTCTCAGACCACCTCAGGGGCAGAGTTTGGGGAGAGGGTGTACACAAGGGACTCCTTGTGCCCTGGGTGTTTGGGATGCTTCCCTAATCCTTACAGAACCCACAGGCTCTGGCCTTGACCACCACACTTACCCCTATCAAGACCCCTGCACTGTTGCCAAAGTGGGCTATCAGCTCTTCTGTGCTTGGAATCTGAAGTTCTGGCCCCCCACCCCCTGTAATTTTGCATCAACTCCCCTCCTGCCAAGTCACTATACAAACCCTCTCCACCCTTCAAAGTCGAGGGGCCTCCCCTTAGAGCCTGCCCTGATGTGCCAGCTAGAAAAGGCCAGGGTATGTGAGGGGGGAGGAGGAGCTCAGGCACAGTGGCCCTGTGCCTGGTTTATTTCTGTCCCGTCTTACATCAGGCTGAGAATAACAGAGGGCTCAAGGTCATATTGCCTTTGGGATGTTGGACTCCAAGCCCAGTGCTCCCCTGCTCTAGTCAGGAGACCTATGGAGCTGATGGAGGCCGCTGTCCACCTCTCACCTTTTCCAGGGCTGACCCTGAGGCAGGCCGTTGCTTCCTCCTGCTAAAGCCAGGGCTGCTGACATGTCCATCCTGGGCCTTGGCCAGGGCTAGCTTTTGTTTCTACCACTGGCTTGCTGAGTCTGCATTTGTCCCTCAGGGCCCCTGCCCCTTCCCTGCCTAGAAGAGCTTGACCTTGGCTGGTACGGGTTTTGATATGTACTCTGGGCCCTTCTCGGTAAGTCTAGGTGGGAGACAGGGCTGGAGTCAGCTCTATAGCAGCATCCTGGGAGGTAGGGAGCCCACCACCCCCAGTGATTCTGGGGGTATCCCTGGATCACTATTGTAGCCAAGGCAGGCCCTAAATGTCCAGATTGGTGCTTGTGACCCTAATTTAAATGCCAGGTTATTTTTATTTATTATTTTTGTCCTTTTATGACCTGTATTTCCAGCATGGGAGCCTTGGGTGTCTGGCCGATGTTGTATCTGAAAGGCTCTTAATTGGAACATTTTGACTCTCTTGAGGGTGATGTATCCACTTTACCACACCCCTGTGGCTACAGCAGTCCACTGTGAGCTGGGACTGGAGGTGGTGGCATCCAGATGGGCAATTCTGAAACAGTGACAGGACGTTGGGTGGCTCTGGTCACAAGTTGAAGGGAGGGGAGAGGGACCACCCCAGTCAAGATACACCAGAACCTCATCTGGATTCTGGCACTGCCCAAGCCATCCTTTAGTCAAGGATGGAGCTGGGAGTCTGATGGAAGGTGACCATTTTCTTCTCTTATGCAGGAACAGAACAACATGACCCTTCAGTGCACCAAGTCAGCTGGACACTGGAGGGTAGGGAGTGACCTGGGAAGTGGGTGTCCTTGGAGAGGTGGGAGGAAGCCAGTCAAGAATCCCCCACCCCACTTCCATTGAACTCACACTGGGGGAAGGTGCCAACTGCCCCTTGCACAGACCATGCACCCAAAGCTCAGACTAGGGAGAGACCTGCTCAAGGTCACATAGAGCTTGAGCTTGAACTTGTGTCTTCTGGTTCCTGCCCTTGAACCATTGCACCTAATCTTCCTGCCCAATTCCTTCGCCCATGTGGGCCTTTAGAAAGAAAAATTAGAAGCACTTTATGGTGGTGTAAGTCTGTAATCCCAGCACTGAGGAGATGGAGGCAGGAGGATTGTGAATTCAAGGCCAACCTGGGCTACTTGAGAGCCTGTCTCAAAACAATGTGAAGGAGTCACATAAGTCTTTGAGAAGACCTTGAGAAGGTGAGGCTCTGCCTACATTCCCATCTGACATCAGTAGGGGGCAGCACTGGGCCTGTGGATTCCAGGACCTCAGCATCCATTGCGCTCACTCACCAGGCCCTGGAGGTACTTGAGTGTGCAATTTCTCTTTTATCTACTTGGCTCCACCCCGAGTCAAGGCTGAGCTCCCCTGCCCCTTGCAGGATTCTGATACCCACAGATCTCCCATTCTTTCCTGCACAGATGGTGGTGTGGGATGAAGAGGGCTTCCAAGGCCAGTGGCATGAATTCACAGCCGAATGTTCCAGTGTGCTGGAGACTGTGTGATCCTTGAAAGTGTTAAGTGGAGCGTGAGTTTGGAGGATACTGAGTCAGGGCAGGAGGTGGGGGATGAGGGGGACCTAGAGAGAGATGCTGGGACCCATAAATGTCTGAGCCCTATCTTTCTAGGGCTCCTTTGTATTTAATCCCTTCCTGAAGTGTTAAGGAGTGTGCAGGAGTGGTGACTCAGGTTACCCAGGTTGTGCACTGCCCAATTGTAAGGACACCATTCGCATAGACCCTGCATGCTGGATGAGGCAGTGTTGGTCAGCCTTAGAATCCAGTGTTGGGTCTGAAAATGCTTCTCTTGGTCATTAACTGAAAGCCAGGATCACTCACACTGACCTTTTAGAGACTTTGTAGACTAGCATCCTTCATCAGTCCTTTCTGCAACAATGGGAAGTTCTGTAACATCTACTTCATCTGATGCCGTCGTTGACCACATGTGACCACGGAGGAAGGATTTGAAATGCGGATTGTGTGACTAGAGAGATAAATTTTATTTTTATTTAGTCTTAAGAGCAGATGTAATCAGTTGCACGTGCCTATCCCATTGGACAGAAGATTCTAGAAGATTAGAAAGAAGACTAAAAGGAGAGCAATGCTCTCTCTTTGTCATTCAGAGTCTAGGTTTTGCCTGTGGGTGCCTCCCAAGGTCACTTTGGGTGATCTGTTTGCATCTTATACCACAGTGATTGTTCATTTAGCTTCTGCTCTGTTCGGGAGGAGAGACGAGGCTCAGAGGGGAACAGGTGTCTATCTAGGGACTGTCCAGCAGGCTGCCAGTTGAGGCTGGATAGAAGACAATGTACCTGGAGGGATTCATAGTGTTTGTTACTAACACAGATGGCACGTGCAGGCTTCCTTTGTCCCTTAGGGTGACACAAAACAAAAGGGACTGATGAGGGGCTACTTCCATGCTTCAGCTCAGGGTGGCAGTGTGGAGAGCTCCTCATTCATGAGAACTAGGAAAGGCAAGAGAAGCTGCCCCAGAAGCCTTCCTGGAGAGAGGATGGGAAACAGTTCAGGACAGCTCCTCACAAGTCTGCCAGCTCCTGTGTCTGGTAGGCTCATGAAGAGTCAGTGAGACCGAGGTCAGCCTGTGGCTGAGCCCTGTCTATGTTATGTGGCATTTGTGGCAATGCATATGTGAGGACATCAGAGCCCCTGCCTGGAGCAGTGTCCTCCCTATGAAACACAGCAAGCCACTGGGCTGCTGGGCTAGGCAGTTTCTCACATTGAGCCCAGGCAGAGTTACCCCACACTTTGCATTATCAATGTCTGGGCATGGTTGTTCTTTGGTGGGGTGTCCTAGGTGCTGTACTGGTGCTGCTGGCTCTACCCACTGAATGACCACTGCAGTCCCTCCCCTAGTACTTGACAACCAAAGTGCTGCCAAGTGTTCCTGGAGGCTCAGCCACCCTCCAGGAGACCTGACCTGGTTGTCAGGGTGGCTGTTCTTCCCTCCTGCTCTCTTTGCCCTGTCTGTCCACAGGTGGGGGGGCTTTGAGCATGCTGGCTTCCAAGGGCAGCAGTATGTGCTAGAGAGGGGTGAGTACCCAGGCTGGGACGCCTGGAGCGTCAACACAGCCTACCCTGCTGAGAGACTCACCTCCTTCCGGCCTGTGGCCTGCACTGTGAGTCCTAAAGCCCGTATCCCTGGGTGGCCAGAGCTCTCTAATGAACACTTGGGAATTACATTCCAAGTTCTCATGTTCTCTTCAAGCAAACGACATGAGCAATCTCTCTCATCTGTGACCCTCAGTTTCTATTACTTGAAATTAGGCTACAATAACTGTGGTGTGGAGAAGAAGGGCTGTGGCTAGAACCCACCATGAACTCTCTGTTTCAGAGAACAACCTTGGTTGTTGTGGGAACCCCCTGTGCGTGTTACACCACTTTTCTTGTAATTCAGGGACCCTAGGAGAGCTGGGTGCCAGGGAAGGCAGGGCTGGGAGGGAGGAAGGGTTCCATGACCTATTTCCAATTGGTCATCTCTTCGTTGTGTATATTGCTGCTGTTGGTGGAGCATGGGCAGAGGTAGGCATACCCTGTCCCACAGATGGAAAAGAGATAGGGTCGGCTCCATTTTATAGCTATGGAAAAACAGAGTTTCGGAAATGTCCGGTGGCACACCTGAGCTCAACCAGCTGGCAAGGGCCAGAATCAGGTTTGAACCCAGATATCCACACTGTTCTTATAGCATAACACCCCATCTTCCCACCTGATCTCCCTGTCTTTGGGCATTAGGTCAACTTATTTCTTTATTTTCAACTGTTATGGTGGACATTCTTATAACTATTCATTGCATGATTGCTATCTTTGTGGAATTTCTGGAAGGGCAAATGATGACATGTCTTCTAAAGCTTCTGGTATCTGTTGCCCTTCCCAAAGGTTTGGGGAGACTTGGGAGGCAAAGGCAGGGTGTGGGGCTTGCAGTGGCTTCTGCGTGTCTAGTGCTGGGCCTGGTGCTGTGCCTGGAGGTCTGACCCAGGTCTCTTTTGCTGGCAGAACCACCGTGACTCAAGGCTGACCATCTTCAAGCAGGAGAACGTCCTGGGCAGGAAAGGCCAGCTGAGTGATGACTACCCCTCTCTGCAGGCCATGGGCTGGGACGGCACAGAAGAGGGCTCCTTCCATGTCCACTTTGGGGCGTAAGTGGACTCACAGCTCTGCCTGGCAATGCAGAGATGTTGGGAGGGCTGGGACATGTTCTGTGAAGAATGTGTGCCCACACAGTAGAGAACACAGAGGCACCGAGGGCATCAGACAGAGCTTAATGGGACTGCAAGTGACAGACTTACAAGTGACTTCAGGCCAAAGGATATGCGTAAGACCCTGTGATTAGCTCCAGGGACAACTGGATCCAAGGGTCGCTGTGGGATCCTCCTTTCTCTTGTCCTTCCTCCACTGGCTCTATTCTTATACCAGATCTTCCCAGAAGGCAAAGACAGAGATTTCCTTTTCACACCCTATCCCAAGGGAGAGTGAAGATCCATTCCTTATTGATTCTATTGAAGATTCCAGGAAAGGTGCTTATTGGCCTGGCTTGCATCATATGATCCCTCTTGAGCCAATCACCATGCCCTAAGGAATGGGAAACTTGATAGGCTGGGAAGGGTCACATGGTCTTTGAGTGTCCGTTCATTTCCCACCTTGACTGAGATTTAGAGGTCTCTAAGCCGAAGACCCTGTTTGTCTGGGGTGCTTGGCTCCTGTCAGCAAGGATGAAGGTGGGAGGTGTGGCTTCTGTTCAGAGAATGAGGAACCAGAGATTCAGGATGTTTCCAAACAGAAATGGCCCTGCGATTCTCCCTTCATTTCCCTGTTCCAGAGAAAGGGGGATGGAGGCTGATAATACTCACCTAGAATCCTGGCCCTGAGCAATGCAGGGCCCCATGGTTTGGAACAAGAATGAGGAAGGATTGGACAAAGCAAGACTTCCTGTCCTCATTCCTTCCCTTCTATATTGAATAATTACTCATCCCCTGTGCCTGTCATCCCGGCACTGGGGAGAGTGAGATGAACCCCAAAGCATCTCAACACTAGTTTACTCTTCTGGTGGAGGCTGACAGTTCACAAAAGAATCTTAAATTATCCAGTTATAATGAATATTACAAAGTGATACCCAGGGCCTGGGCAGGTTAGATAACTGTGAGGGAGACCTGAGGAGCAGGTACAGTCAGCCTGAAGAGTAGCCGGATGGGTGTTTCTGACAGGAGGAACAGCATAGAGCAAAGGCCTTGTGGTAGGGAGAAAGAGTGGGCATGGCACATCTGAGCAATGGGGCCAGATCAAGCTGGCTGGGCATTTTGTTGCTTGAGGGTCTCAGTGCCTGGCTTGGTTCACCAACTGTCCTAGTTTGTTCTGACCACTACCAACTTGGGGAGGAAAGGGTTTATTCAGCTTACATCTCCCAGGGTGCAGTTCACCAGGGAGCCCAACGTAGGAACTCAGGGCAGGAACCTGGAGGCAGGAGCTGGATCACAGGCCATGGAGGAACGCTGCTTACTGGCTTGCTCCCCTGGCCCCTGCTCAGCCTGCTTTCTTATGCAACACAGGCCCACCTGCCCAGGGGTGGCAGGTGGCACCACCCACAGTGGGCTGGGCCCTCCCACATCACTCAACAATCAAGAAGGTGCCCTATGGACATGGCCATAGGCCAGTCCAATAGAGGCAATTCCCCAACTGAGGCGCCCTCAACCCAGGTGTGTCAAGTTGACACTAAAGCTATCCAGCACTCCAACACTGCCCCCACCGCCGCCCCAGGGGTAAATGTTTCCTTCTTTCCAGCTGGGTTTGCTCCCAGTTTCCTGGCTACCGAGATTTTCAGTATGTACTGGAGAGTGACCACCACTCTGGTGACTACAAGCACTTCAGGGAGTGGGGCTCCCATGCCCACACTTTCCAGGTGCAGAGCATCTGCAGGATCCAGCAGTGAGCAGGCTGGGGAGCATTTGGGCACATGCGTGGCGTCTGAGCAGCTGCTTGGAGGCTGTGGTCATACTTGGTTCCTGCTGCTGTCATGTCCCCTGGGAGTCCATGCTGGTCAGCCCACACATGCCACATCAGCACACAAATCTCAAAGAAATAAAATTTATAAAACAAAAGGTCCAATACTAGCTGCACCTTTCAATTTTACCTAATTTCCCAAAGAACCAATTTGTAGCTTTATTAAATGTCTTGTCATTTGCTTTATTTATTATTATTGTTATTATTGTTATTATTATTATTATTATTGAGACTGGGTCTCCCTGTAGCTTCAGCTGTCCTGGAACTCACTAGGTAGACCAGGCTGGCCTCAAACTCACAAAGATCCACCTATTTCTGCCTCTCAAGTGCTAGGATTAAAGGCATGCACCACCATGCCTGGCCTGCTTTGTTTCTTAAAGATTTATTTTTATTATTTATTTGTGTGTGTGTGTGTGTGTGTGTGTGTGTGTGTGTGCTCCTGTGAGTGTGCCTGTGGCAGCCAGAAGAGGGCATCTAATCCCTTGGAGGTGGTGTTAGAAGTGGCTGTGAGCCACTGGACATGGGTGCTGGGATTTGAACTCTGATCCTCATGATCTTAACTGCTGAGCAATCTCTCCAGCTCCGTTTGTTTGTTTTATGTCGCTGACTTTTGCTTTTTAACTTTGTGTCCTCTTCCTTCTATTTACTCCAGCTTTGCTCTGTTCTTAGTTTTCATGGCATTTTAAGGAAGACTCTTGGATCTCTAATGTTAGACCTTTCTCTGTGTTTCTTTGTCTCTGCACTGTAAACATTTTAGGGCTATCATTTTTCCTCTGGGGACAGCATTAGCTGCTTCCTACAAGTTCTAATTTGATGGGTTTATTATTATCCAGTCTCATAATTTCTAATTTCTTTTATTATCTTTCTCTTTTCCCATTTTCATGTGTGTGTGGTATGCATATGTAGATGTGTGTGTGTGTGTGTGTGTACATGTTTGCATATGTGTAGGCACAAGTGTGTGAGCATGCTTGTGGAGGCCTGAGGTTGATGGGGAATCGTCCTTGATTGCTTTTCCACCTTGTTCAGTGAGGCAGCGACTTACAGTCAAACCCAGAGCGCCCCGGTAGGCTAGGCTTGCCTGCCAGCCTGCTCTGAGGATCGCCTGTCTCCACCTTTCCCCAGTCTGCCATTCCTATCTGGCATTTACATGGGACTGTGGGGGTCCAAACTCCAGTCTCCACGATGGTACAGCATGCTCATAACCACTGAGCCATCTCCCCAGCCCTGATATTTTTGTTTTGTTTTGTTTTGTTGATACCAGGTCTCCCTGTAGCCCCTGCTGGCCTGAAACTTGCTATGTAGCCCAGGCTGGCCTTGATCTCACAGAGATCCACCTGCCTCTGCCTCCTATTAGGATTAAAGGTGTGTGCCACCACTCCCAGCTCAGATTTTTCTTTTTTGACTAATAAGTTATATAAAGGTGTGTTATCTAAATTCCAAACTCTCTGGGATTTTTTAAATACTTAATTTAAAAAATTTATTTATGCTAGGTGAGTGCTCTACAACTGAACTACACCCAGCCCCATTTTTATTTTAAACTTTATTTAAATAAATAAAATTGAACTTATTGAACTTATTTGGTTTTTCAAAATCAAGCCAGATGTGGTGGTGTGCAACTGTAGCCCCAGCACTGGGAAGGCTGAGACAGGAGGATCCTTGTGAGTTTGAGGCCAGCTTGGGCTGCAGAGTGAAACCCTCTCTCAAAAACTAAGAAAAATCAATAGCAGTCTTAAAATAAATGCTATAATAGTTCACTCTTTTTTTTTTTTTTTTTTTTTGGTCTTTTTGAGACAGGGTCTCCCTGTAGTCCCAGCTGTCCTGGAACTCTCTATGAAGACCAGGCTGGCCTTGAACTCACAGAGATCAGCCTGTCTCTGCCTCCCAAGTGCTGGGATTAAAGGCATGTGCCACTATGCAGGCAGCATTTCACTCTTTTGAAATGAACTGAAAGCTATTTTCTAGCCCAGCACGTGGTTCTGCGGTAGGCTCCAGAGGAGAACTGAAAAAGTTTTGAGACAGAATCTCAATATGTGGTCTCGGGTGGCCTGAAACTCACTGAGAAGATCAGGCTTGGCCTCTAACTCACAGAGTTCTTTTTGTAAGAAAGTGTTCATTTCATTTATTGTCATTGTTGTTATTGGTGGTGGTGGTGGTGGTGTGTGTGTGTGTGGGGGTGTATGTAGGCACGTGTGCCATAGCATGTATGGCGGCCACAGAACAACTCTGTGGAGTCAGTTCTTTCCCTCCACCTTGACCTGGGGATCAAACTCAGGTTGTCAGGTTTATGTAGCAAATGTTTTACCTGCTGAGCCATCTCTCAGGCCCCACATGGGTCTTTCTACCTTTTCCTCCCCAGTATTGGGGCCTGCATCATTCACCTATCTACCCAGTTACCCAACCATCCAACCATCCATCCACCCATTCACCCACCCATTCATTTGTCCACCCCGCCACCCAGGCATCCACCCAAGCATTCATCCACCCATCCATACATCCACCCACTCACCCATCCACCCATCCATCAATCCATCTACCAATCTACCCATTCATCCACCCATCTATCTGTTCACTCATCCACCCATCCATCCACCCATCTATCCATTCATCCACCCATCCATCCATCCACCCATCTATCCATTCATCCACCCTCCATCATCCAACCATCCATCCCTCCACTCATCCATCAAATGTCTACTATGTACCAAACAAGACCGATCATTCAGAAGGCCTACCAGTGAACAAAACACAAACATCCCTTCCATTGAGAGACTTATGTCCCAACTGGATGAGACATATTGTACCCCAGACCTCTAAGGTTCCTCTGAGTTTTTCAAAGTCTAATTTATGGGACTAATTATATTTTTATTAAAAATAATGTCTCTGGGTGTTTGGTGCATGGCTTTAATTCTGGCACTCGGGTGGTAGAGGCAGGTGGATCTCTATGGAGATCAAGGCCAGCCTGGTCTACATATTGAGGTCCAGGACAGCTAGGACCATAGGGAGATCCTGTCTCACCTGCTCCTCCCCCAATCCCCCCAAAATAATGTTGCTATCTTTAGGTATTATTGGTATTTAGGTTACAGGACTTCTTGGAGCCTAAAGCAGTTAAGCATGGATTGAAAACCTCTGGGAGGAAGAGAATAGGGTTCAGAATTTTGAACTTCTTTGACACGCTCCTTTCGGTGAGCCTCTTTTTCATAAGTGACTGGCGGGATGTGAGATAGAAAGCGCTGGAGTGAAATGGAGTAGCCATTCATACCTAGTAGGAATTATTTTCCCATGGGCCTTTAAGAAATTGAGGATGAACGTGGTGAGTGCTGTGGTAGAGGCAGAGGTACTGTCCAGAAGTGGCTCACAGTCAATATAGTGATGACCTTAGGAAGACAGGCGAGGCTAGATGAGGACGATGAGGTTTAGTTAAAGCCTGTGACTGGGGATGGACCTGGCCCTCCTTTTCCCCCCATAGGGCCCTTCCCCTGGGTCCCTGGATGGAAGGGCTTGATGACACAGCTCAGAGGGACAGCTGTGTATTGATCCATTGCTGTCTGAGCCTTTGCACCCAGGCTCCCCAGTCTGCAGCTCCAGCTTCCTCCTCTATCACTGGGGGAACAGGATGCAGGACGCACCAGACACGGACATGCAGGCCTGTCCAGGGTCTGTGTTCTGAGGTTATTCCACCTTCATCTGTCCCTTGACCCCACACCCTTCTCCACCCCAGCACCCTTCCCCTGCCCCGCCCACAGTTCCTCAGTAGGAATGAGAATAACACTGGGCTCCAAGCTGTGTCCACCCTTTTACTGTGCAAAATGATCTAACGTGTACAGGGACTCTTCAACATCATTAGGCCCTTAAAATTCATCAGTAATTTGAGGCTCAGAGAGGTCAAACAACTTACCTGAAGCCACTCAGCCCATAGGAGCATTTAGTTCACTATGTGTTGTACAAGATTTTGGGGGTTCTAAGGAAGATAATGGGCACAAATGGGGCTTATAAACAGTGAGTTTTCTAGGTTCAGGTCCTCCCCTAAGAGTTGACAAAGCAGGCTCCTACACTTTAGTATGAGCAACTGATAGCTTCTTTTATTTTTTTTTATTTTTTGAAACATGTTCTCACCTGGAGGACCTGAAACTTGCTATGTAGACCAGTCTGACCTCCAACTCACAGAAATTCACCTGAGTCTGTCTCCTGAGTGCTGGGATGCATAACTTCTTATATATCATAGGAAAACTTTAGGCTCCTGGGAGCACAGTCAGAAATATTTGTGGAAGGAAGGAAAGGGAGGGAGGCTGGGAGAAGGCCACTAGAGTTTGATGGCCTCCATGAAGAGCCAGCCTTGACCAGAGCCAGGCGTGAGGTGGGTAGCCATAATGAAAGAAGTTCCAGATGTGATGGCACTGGGGTGACAGGTTTGCCAAAGAGATCTTGGAGGACGTGAAGACAGCGTGAAGTTATTTTTCATATCTTGCCAGGAGACCAATTTTACTAGGTTATAAAAGAAAGGAGCTTAAATTATTGATGCTGTTTGGTTCAAAGTAAGCACATGGCCAGGAATGCAGTCACTGGAACATTGTACTTAGCCAAAAAAAGACTGACCACACAGTAAGACAGAGGACCCCAAACCAGTGAACTCCTGGTCCAGAGAAGGCAACGGACAGCGGGCTACAAAACGGCACCTGCTCCCCACAGCCTCCTTCCAGCTGCTCATACCCCTGGAAGATGTTCACACCTAGGGCTGGATCCTGAGCCCTGCTGACCAGACAGGGTGGCCTCTGGGAACCGCTTTATTCACTGAGCCTCCCTTTCCTTCCCCCTAAAAGGACTGCCCTTGAGGAGGTCCAGGAAGTGGGTCAGCAGGAGAGAAAATGCTGTGAGACCAAGACCACAGCCCCTGGCTCTTGCCTCCCAGCTCCCTCTCCCAACTGGGTCCTCTGCTGGCCCAGGAGCAGAGGCCCTGACTAGGGCTTCAAAGACTCTCTCAGG